TCTGATGCTGCTTGGCCTGCTGTGTTCATCCAGCTCTACACCTTGTTATCTCAAAATTATTCATTTTGCCTCTTTTATAATGTCAAGATGTCCTTTCTGGCCAATGATGTATTTTTGAAGTATATTAGCTCTTGCAAGAAAAGAAAAGTGGCAGTGATCTGTACAGAAACTTAACATTTGATAGGAATAGATGTAAAGTAGAAATCTCTGTCAAAATTAAGGTGTTAAGTATTAACAACTCTGCTTGATCCAAAGATTAAAAAACAGGAAAACATGAAAACATTCAGCAAGATATTCAGAATTAGTCGAAAAACAATAGTCAATTATCATTTATCATACCATAAAATCAATCCTCAGGATTGAGATTGGCAGTATCTGTACTATTCTGTTCATTGTTTCAGAAGTAGATTAGGGATAATCAACATGTGCACGGGAAACTATGTCTCACTAACTTGCTTGAGTTTTTTTGAAGAGGTGATAAAGAAGAAGGCCGAGCAGCCTTTGTCTGTATGGACTTCAGCAAGGCATTCAACAAGCTTCCACATGGTAGGCTGGTTAGCAAAGTTAGATCACATGGAATCCAGGGTAAGCTAGCCAATTGGATACAAAATTGGTTTGAAGGTAAGAGAGAGAGAATGGTGGTAGAGTGTTGTTTTTTTTGTACTGGAGGTCTGTGACCAGTGGTGTGCCACAAGGATCGGTGCTGGGTCCGCTGCTTTTTGTCATTTTTGTAAATGATTTGTATGTAAAGATAGGAGGAATGGTTAGTAAGTTGGCAGGTGACACCAAAACTGGAGGTGTAGTGGACAGTGAAAAAGGTTGTCTCAGAGTACAATGGGACCTTGATCAGATGGACCAATGTACCAAGAAGTGGCAGACGGAGTTTAATTTAGGTAAATGTGAGGCATTGCATTTTGGTAAGGCAAACCAGGGCAGGACTTATACAGTTAATCACAGGCTCCTAGGGGATGTTGCCAAACAAAGAGATGTAGGGTTGCAGGTACATATTTCCTTGAAAGTGAAGTCCTAGGTAGGCAGGGGGGGGTGAAGAAGATATTTGGCACACTTGTCTTCGTTGGTCAGTGCATTGAATATAGGAGTTGGGACATCATTTTGCAGTTGTACAGGACATTGGTGAGGCCTCTTTTAGAATACTGCTTTCAATTCTGGCCTCCCTGCTGTAGGAAAGATGTTGTTAAACTTGAAAGGGTTCAGAAAAGATTTACAAGGATGTTGCACGGATTGGAGGGTTTGAACTGTGGTGAAAGGCTGAATAGGCTGGAGGTTTTTTTTCCATGCAGCATCGGAGGCTGAGGGGTGACCTTATAGAGGTTTAAAAAATCATGAAGGGCCTGTATAGGGTGAATACCCAAGTTCTTTTCTCCAGGGTAGGGAAGTCTATAACTAAAGGACATAGGTTTAAGGTGAGAGGGGAAAAGTTTTAAAGGGACTTGAGGGGCAACTTTTTCACGCAGAGGGTGGTATGTGTATGGAAAGAGCTGCCAGAGGAGATCGTGGAGACGAGTTCAATTTAAAAGGCATCTGGATGGGTACATTGAATTAGAAGGCTTTAGAAGGATATGGGCCAAAGCTGGCAAATGGCACTAGATCAGTTTAGGCTATCTGGCTGGCGCAGACGAGTTGGACCATAGGGTCTATTTTTCTGCTGTTTGACTCTATGACTATAAGTACTGATGGGTGTAAAACATAAGAAACTGAAAGCCTCGAATCCCATTGGCTTTAACTTTTTAAACAATCTGCAATGCGAGACCTTGTAAAAAGAATTATTGAAGTCCATGTAGATTACATCAACTGCACTATCCTCATCTACACA